TGAAAATAAAAACATGGCATGGATTCTGTAGCCATGGATGTTTAAATTCACTTGTGAGTGATACTAGTCATCTTAATATTTTAATAATACAGATTATTTGAAGGAATTATAGCTACAAATGAAAAGACAAACATTCTAAAAAGCACATCCAGTTTTTCTAGTGCTAAGTCACGGCAGCCTTGAAAATATCTTGCAGTCTAAGATTATCCTTGCATAAAGTTGTTTAAAAATGTATTGTGACAGTGAATACCAGAAATGCAGCTCCTTATCAAGGTAAGGCCTTAAAAGTGTTATTTCCCATTCAAATAAAGCATGGCTGTCTGCAATCCATAAAGCAAAACGAGTCTTTCTGAATATCCTCAGTGAAGATGCACTTTAGCCCAACACTCATCCTTCTCCAGTGTGAAGATGTAGGTAACCAATAGTCAAGAAACATACCTCCTCTTTGTCACTTTTACGTAAATGGTTGGAACGATCCAAAAAGCTATGTCCTCCTATTACCCACTCCTTCTGAATAAGGCTCTGAAAGCCAAACTTTGTTCTGCAGTACGAATCCATCATCACTTGGACTAGACTAGATATTACACAGCACAAATCAGAGGCATTCTCCTCTAGAAAGCAATATCAAAAGGACAAGGATCAGTGGTATGTTCACTATCACTAGACAAAACACTTAGTCTCAATTTTAGGATGGCCTTATTTTGAAAGATTCTTAAAGAAGTACTGTTTTAATGGATTGCCAAGTTCCAGTTTACCTATTTTAGGATATATGTTTAGACTTTCATGCCTGTATTAAAGCTGAAAACATTTATTTGGTTGCTTAGAGGTGATTAAGGCCAGGTACAGACAGTCAAAAAGCCAAAGGCTGGATCTATTTAATCTTTGCAAGTTAGTCTAAGCTGTGTAGACTGAACCTATAAGCAAATGAACAGGCATCCACTTTTGATTCCAGAAATACAGCCACATGCCTGCAGTGGCCCAGGCCAAAAGCTGGGGATGCTAGAGCACCCGCTCAGCTGGAGCAGACAGCTTGAGTCAAGGCTAACCCACCTACTCTGCAAGGGGGAGTTTGCAGGGGAGGTGCAAAGCATCCTGAAATGCTAGGGGGGCTGTGAGTTACCTTGAATCTGGAGGGGATCTGGGACAGAAGTTTAATAAACCAATTTAACCTAAATAAGTTAGAATTTGATACTACATTTATCCAGGTTTATCGTAAACTGGTTTCGGCCATTTTGAAAGCAGCTTACATGCACTGAACTTCTGCTGTGTTACAGATCCGAGCCAAATTTCCAAATCACATACTGGTTTGTGTGTAATTTCTGTCCCTAACCTAAAGGACTGATTGTTTAAGAACAGCCATAACTCTGGTAACAAGCAGTTTTACCAAGTGCATGTTTACAGGTAATTTTGCTATTTTCATAGAAAAAAATGAAATAGCAAATTTTAGAGATGAAGTTGATTTTCATGAGTTAAACACTAGTAGTTTTAAAACCAACAGTTTCATGGTTCTGTTATTTCTAAGCCCAGGTTTGTTCAAGGGGATTTAGTTTGAAGTCTAAGGCCATGAGACTTGCTCTAGGGGAAAAAAAACAAAACCTGTAGTCAGTTTACGAAAATGAAATCCCATATGCATTTAGCAGAACATGCTCATGGAACACAATACCACACAGTTTTGTATTAAAAACTACACGCAAGATCAGCGGATTGATATCTCGAGCTCGTTAAGTGAAGTTTAATACCAAAACTTAACTTTTATGGTGTGTGCATTTTTTCTTATTCGAGCTCTGGCTTATTCTGAGCTAGACTCTAAGAGCTATGGTGAAATCAAAAAGACAAACTTGATTATTTAAGGACAGACATGAGACTGATGAGGGTCTTCAGTGTTTACTTCACCCCTCATGCCTTCCACCTTCAGTCTAACATTTACTACCAGAAAAGGAAATGGCAAAGAATGGCAAATTAAATGAGGGGGACAAAGAGAAAGGGCAAATTCCCCAACTTCTTTACAAGATGCATGCCAAATTCTCTCAGTCATTTTGCTCCATGGTACATCTGCTCCATCCCATTCTTCAGTTACTCCAAGAGCTTGCAAAGGTTTATCTAAACCAAGTATGCAGGAGTCTTGCTGGTGCTTACTTGTATATGACAAACTACCACGTTCACCCTATTGTTTAACGTAACACATACTTGTCTATTTAGAGCAACAGAGTCTCATGATACTTTAAGAGTTGATCTACAATTTGAGAAAAAAACAACATTCTAAAAATCTAGTGCATGTCAAAGGCACTGACAAGGCGGACCACCTTTAGATTCTGAACCAGTGCAGTTAAGATTGATTTTATGTAGCTGTATCATGCTGGTCATTAGTGAGCATATTCAGCTCTAAGTTTAAGAGCCGAGGTTCTCAAAAGTGATATAACAAAAGACATACTTGATCTTATTTATGCATGTCTAATTAAACGATTAATCCTTAGATAAAAAGTTGATCATGAAAACCATAACAATCCCACAGGCTTGCAACAAATTTTCATATGCAAAGTCAGCAAATAGATTTCCACCCCCATGCCCATTTAACAGTTTAATTATACTGAAGTTAAACAGTCCCAAAATTCACTTTAACACAGTTGTGCAGAAACCAAAAAACACCAGCAAGAGATTCCGATTCAACTATACAAGTTCTTGAATATTTAATTCCAACCCCTTTGAGTCCCTCTTTAGCTGGGGCTATGCATGCCAAATTTTAAACCAGGTGAGGTAGAAGTCCAGGGCAAGGTATCCTAGCAAATAGTTTTAAGTGAGATGCTATGAAAATTTTAAGCACAGCATTAGATGCTTAGGAGTTTGAACTACTTATTTTCCCTTCCTTGCACACGATTGAAAAATTATAATTTAAAATTCAGTATGTGAAGAGGAGGATGGTAATCCTGAAGAACTCTTACCTATAAGCAGAACATTTGTAGTCTGTCTTTCCAGCTGTTCAACCACCTCTATTGCTTTTTTCAGACATCGTCTATTGTGGTACAGAAAGAAAGACAGGACTTGTATTTTCAACTGGTTAAGATTAAGTAGCATTATCAGAATTTAAAAATTTGTGACCATCTGACATTATATGAACGAGGGGTGCACCGATAGAGATTTTGGGGGCCAATACTAATAGCTGATTTTTAAGGAGGCATATTGGCTGATACCGATTTGATTTCCGACACACAGCATGGCAGCTTGAAGAGCTCTGTGCAGCTGGTAAGTCAGTTGTGGTGGAAGGGGAGGGGGAAGGAAAGAGGCATGGGCTGCTCAAATAGGGTAGGGCAGTGGGGGAGCTCAAACAGGGATGGGGGGGGCACAGCATGTGTCCCTAGATCTGCACAGGGTGGGCTGCAGCTGCGGGCTGGGACCAGGGCTGTGCCAGGCTCTTCCCAGTGGGGTCTGGGCCAGGTTGAGCTCGGGATGGGCAGCAGCAGTGCTGGGAGGGGGCTGCAGCCACCCCAACATTTATTGTAGTCCCCCGCCTCCCAACACCACCGCCCTGAGTGCAACCCTGGCCCACCCCCTCACCCCCGCCAGGAAGAGCCTAGCACAGCCCCAGCCCACAGCCCACCCCACCCATACCCTGTGCAGAATCCAGGCACACAACCCCCACCCCACACCCTCCTGGGGTGCATGCAGCAGCAGGAGCCTGCCGGGCTATGTTCCTTGCCACCTACACGCTGCACTGTGGCTGCACACACGCATGGGCATTTATTAGCCAAATTAAATCAGCCACATCAGGCTGATTTCTAATACTGTCAGTTTTCTTTATAATCTGTTCCGATCTGATATCAGACCAATGTATTGGTGCACCTCTAAAATTAACTTGAAAAACTACTTTGCAAATTTAGTGTTAGGGATGTTCCTTGCCACCTACACGCTGCACTGTGGCTGCACACACGCATGGGCATTTATTAGCCAAATTAAATCAGCCACATCAGGCTGATTTCTAATACTGTCAGTTTTCTTTATAATCTGTTCCGATCTGATATCAGACCAATGTATTGGTGCACCTCTAAAATTAACTTGAAAAACTACTTTGCAAATTTAGTGTTAGGGAAGCAAAAAACCTTAAATTTGAATTTTATACTGTGTCTTGAATAAGTTGTTTTTGTTTTTTAATTTAAACGCAAAATGTAAATCAATTTTAAGGCTTTCACATTTCACCTTTAGTCTGATGTTTACTGACACTGACAGAATGACAAGGACACTTCAAATGGACAATGATTTGGAGACTGTATTTACTCAAATATAAAGACCAGGTCCTCTCCACCCCCGTCTTCAACACACCGGGGGGGGGGGGGGGGGGGGGGGGCGGGCCCGCGGCCCCCAGCCGGTAGCGAGGGGAGGGGAGCTGCTTACCCCCGCAGGACCGGGCTCATCATGTAAGCCAGGAACTCCAGCCCCAAACTGGGCTTGGGGTTAGAGCTGCAGCTGCTACCCACGCCCACCCCGCCCTACCCTCCTCAGTCTCTGCTGCTTACCCTTCATCACAGGGTAGGAGCTACAGCTGCTGCAACCACTGCCACATGGCAAGAGTCACCATGTGTTCCAAGCCAGAGTGGGGCTAGAGCCAGAGCTGCAAGACAGGGTAAGTGGTGGCACAGTGGGCAAGTAGTGGCCGGGGTGGAGGGGGAAGAGGGAGGTGCAGGCAGCAAGGGGTAGGCTACTTGAATCCTCCACTGCAGCAAGAAGGGGGGATGAATTAAAAAAGGAGAGGTTAGAAAAGGGAAAACAACTCTCCAATAATTATATATGGAAAAATTGTATCAAAATTTTCCATGTATAGAGTCCAGAGGTAGATCTGGAGGGGGTGCAGTTGTACCCTCCCTTTGGTTCAATTCCTGCTCTAATCAATAATTTCAAAATGAACTGCCTGGAAGAGGCAGTGGCACTTCTATTTAGACAGCACTGTGGGAGTCAACTGACTTAACAGCTCTTTGTAATCCAATTCCTGCTAATCACTTCACTCCATTCTCCTTTGTAACAAGTGTTGATTATATCCTTGATGTTCCACTATTCCACTTTCTTCTGTAATTCTGCTCTCTGTATCCCATTCCTAGTAATGTCATTCTTGTATTTCATGGCCCTGCAGACTATTTTCAACTCCAGCTAGAACCTCAACTCAAGTGTGGTAATGTTAACTTGGGTGAATATTAACTCCGTTGTTGAAGTGGCTGACAGTGAAGTATTGGATGCATTGTCACGACCCTCAAGACTTAGATTGTTTTACAGATCTGAATAAGAAATGTACATTTAACTGAAATTACTGCAGGATTAATGAAATTATATATTCACTATTTTGCCTAGTTTGTTATATTTTTTAACCTTAATATATCCAGCAGCTTAGTTGAACACTTATTTCTTCTTTGATATTAAACTAAACAATATAGCACTAGGCCCCTAGCAAATGATAGCATCTAGTTTCTTTTTAACTGGAGAAAAATATATTGTTATAGGATGATAAACTACACGATCTGCACCACCCTCTTCAAAATCCTAGACCTCCCCATGATAGATTGATTCAAATTATTAGGGAAGGCAGGCAGATCTTGCATCTGAGTACATATGGTATTCATTACTCTGAGGCATTCATAAGACAGAGGTGCATCTGATGAAGCACAGGGTATAACTTTACCCTCCCCAATCTCCATTTTTTTTTATTATAGAAAAATCACCTATAGCAAGAAAAACAAAAAACCCCCCCAAAAAACAACAAAACTTCTCTTCCCCAAATGAATCGAAATGGCTTCATATTTCTGGATATAGCAGAACTTTGCCCCAACAAGGTTTGTTTAATACCATGGTCCCTCCCTTTACCCTCCCATACTTTTTTGTTTTTCGGTTGGTTGGGGGTTTTTTTGCAGCGTGCCATTTATCTAGTATGGAACATAGAAGGTGAACTGTAAGTTTTCTGTTAACATTTCATCATGAAAGCATACATGTAGGTCAAACTTCATCTACATATCCCAGACTCCTGAAACAGCATTTTGACTGAAATATTAAGAAGTCCTTTTCATGTGAAAAGTTTCAGCTGTTTAAAACTGGTTATCCACAGCTAGAAAACAGAGACAGATTTAGCAAAGATGGAGTCCAAATATTTTAACAAACCTAATGATTTCTAGCCAGTTTGTGCTCTCCAGTAATGAAAACCACTTTACATCTGTATCCCAGAAGTGTGCGCTGTTATCTGTAAAAACAGAAAATTAGGTTGTGTGTATGTATGCACCATTGTTCTTAATAGTACGATGTCATATCAAATTAAGTCTTCAGCTAGGATGGATATCAGGCATGCAACGAATTAAATTCAAGTTAAGTTAATTCTTTAAAAAAGAAAACAAAATATACCACACACCTTAGGCACGATTCTATCAAACCTCATTAAAAAAATGCCATTTTTGAACCTGGCTGCTCTCTCTACCACAGAAGCAGGCAATTATTTAGGGCGGAGGGTCACTTATTGAGTTTTGGCAAGCCATTGAGGGCTGCATGGCAGGCAGCCAGGAGCAGATAAATATTAATTTTCTAAATGTTTTAGGGGCCCCGCGGGCTGGATAGAACAGCCTGGCAGGCCGCATCTGGCCCACGGGCCGCATTTTGCCCACCCCTGTTCTACCACCTCCTCTGGCAATGAATTCTACAAAAGTTAACTACGTATTACGTAAAGAAGCAAGCAAAAAAACCAAACAAACTTCTAAATATTAATTTTAGAACACAGTATACAATACAATATACAACCTACTGGAGTCCTACCTACCATTTTAGAATTAACCTGTTAAATTGCAGCAACAGGGAGAAAAATGCTAAAAAAAAGCAAAAGATGGACAAGTAGGATACAACTGGCAAGGGGAATGAAGCACATGCAGTATGTTAAAGTAGTTCAATTCTTACTTTAAGTTCAGGTTAAAAAGGCAAGCAAGCAACTTTGTCCAATGTATCAAACAGCAGGATCCGCCACTCATTTCCATCAGAAATACAGCAAACTAGTTGGTACTAGCTTGGTGAAGGTTTAGAGTACTTGTAGATATCAATATAAAACAGGAGATCACCACCTCCACTGTAGAATACTGGACCACAGGCCTTGTGCCAGGTCCAGGAGTTGTCAACTCAGAATCAAAATGAAACCAGGAGCAGGAAATCTCTCTCAAACGAAGCCTTTTTTTCTCCATCTTGCCTCTTCCTATAAAGACTTTGTTCCTTTGACACCTCTTCAACAATGCCTCCTGTCATTTAAAATTTTCTCTTCCCATCATTTTTTGGCTTTCCTTCCTCACTCCCCTACCCACTCCCTCTAGCATCAGTCTTTTCTACAGTACTCTACTGATGTTACTGTCCTGCTCTGCCCCTGCTCCCCAAGCCCCAGTGAAGCTTTATGCTGCAGAATGCTATCCTTTGACCTGTTTATATGCTTGCAAACAAAGGATTTTTTTTGCAACTATCTAGTTGGTTTAATAAAATATATTGCCTCCCCAAGAGTTCTGATGGTTTGACCCGTGACATTTTTACCTGACCTTTCCCCTATTAATTGCAATCTGCAGTTTCATATAGGTGAAGAACAGACCCCCTCTTCAGCAGGGCTGAGATATACCCATCTATCCTCCTCTCTCTGCAGCCTCTGTGAAATACCACTGCCAAAAGCCAAACAAGCAAGGGAGCACATCTGTTCTCTCTCCCCGAGTTCACCGCTGAAGTGCTCTACCTTCTAGTACCCACTGGTTCTCCTGTAGAGTTTAGTCAGTGGGCTGGAGTGTACAAAGAGCAGACTTATCAACAGAAGACTGATACTTTTAACGCAACCTGTGTCCAATACAAAAACAGTAGAGCAGATTAAAAACAAAAACTAGATAGCTTATATTCCTAACAGGCAAGGAATTTTCCAAGAGCACCCTCTGACCCACAGTTAAGGGACAGGGAAGTCCACTATCTGCAAAACTTTTCTCTGTAAAGGAATGGGCTGCTTATAGGAGCCATTCCCAGGAATTTGCTTTGCAAAGCGAATAAAACTCTTCCTGTTCATTAAAGGAACTTCGCAGGCTTCCTTTCCACAGGTACAGATCAGACTACAGTGAATCAAAGAAAGCAACTGGAAATGTAATCTGACATTGTTTTGACTGCTCAACTACAGATAAGTTTCAGAAAGACTAGAAAGCTGTACTAGCTGCTTGTAAAGTCTCCCTGCAAAAGAAAACTGGGTTTATGCTTTACTGCCTCAAAGAAAAGTGAAAGTCCTTTCCTGGCCCCCATAGAATACACTTTCACACAACATATTCAGGATTGTCTAATCTTACCTTTTAGAGATAGCTACAGAACCAAACTAGTCACACAACTGGGGAAGGGGAAATTTTTAGCTTGTTTAAAACCTGTTAACTCTTTAACCTGCATAGCAACTTCTAGAGAGTTGTGCACATATTTGCTTGGTTTGGCCACCAGACCAAAAATACAAATTTGTTTCACATCAAACAAGTAGCTTTAGTTCCTTGAAAATGAAGCAAAACATCAGGCTCAATTCACAAATGTGACAAGCATGCATCCCTTCCCTACTTTACACTTCAGTGACTTTGTGACTTGAACATTCAGTGATGAATCTGGGAGAACTGGTTTTAAATCCCTATCCTGCCTAACAGAGCAGGAATCTGAAAGCCACCCAATTCTTAGAGCAAAACCTGGTTGCCAGAAGAGGGAAACATCACTGCTAATTCCAGTTTTCTAAATGGTATTTGGAATACCTTTATTTGGCTGAATCTATAAGAAAATCCAAGTCAAACTAGTGACCTGTTTTGCAAAACGAAGAACAAGGGTTTTTTGGCAAATGATTTATCCAAAGATTCTCAGTCCTCCTTCTATGGAGCTTTCCACCATATGAATGCCTTGCATTTTTAAGAGGTCTATCAGTCAGCAGCCCAGCCCATGTTGTAGGGGCATGTGGAACTCAATACATTTGGCACACTTAAGTAACAAACTGAACTTTGTTACTGCAACTAACAGAAAGGCAGAATTAAAGATTTAAGTTGATTTTGTTCTACATATAGAATTTATATTTCATATATTTATACATTTAGAGATTTTACATAATAGGTAATATTCTAGCTTTTCAAGTTTCATTTAAGGAAATAACTGCTTCCTTGGGTGCTAATCTCCTTCCACTGAAAGAACTGAGTGTTATGTAATCTAGATTTCTTTCTTTCTGAATTGTAAGAAGCATCATGAATTTAGCTGGGTATTTAAAATGATTAAGATAAGTTTTAATGCAGAGTTTAGAACAAAACAGCCATGTATAATACCACAGGCAAATAAGAGATCAAAATAAAATTTAAAAAAAATATATATTGAATGATAAGAGCTCTAAACCAAAAGAAACCTAAAGCCTAGCAAGTTTTGGAACAGCACCACCATTTTAAATACTTACCTGGTTCATTTTAAAATAGCTGTGCAACAGCAATAACTTTGTATGAATGTACTATAAACTTAAGTCAATTTCCAAAAAAACCCTTCAAATTCAAATTCATGCCCAGAAGATACCTCTGCTTTTTTTTTTTTAAATCTATACTGATGTTTCTGAAGTGGAGCGAAGCCACCACCACCCATCCACTCAGACTCAAGTAAAGAACAACTGTGGTAAGGATAAGAAGCTACCAAGAGGCAGACAACTTGTTAGGCAGCTGGCTAGCTGATGGCTCTCATTGAGATGAGGCTGCTAGACAAGAGGGGAAAACAGGATTAGGAGGATCTGCAGAACCAACCAACTAGGACACTATAAAAATAGCTACGTGGCTTGTTTTGAGGTCTATTATTAATTTAAAAGCAATTTATTTTAGTCATTACAATTTCAGATTGTTTCCTATTAAAGAATGTTTCCCATTTAAAATGTTCCTCTACTAGAGAGTCTAGAGCTTCATTACAACTTACTGAGAGACTATCCTAACATTTCTAAGCAAAGACTCCATGATACATTTGCTACTTCCTAATTTGAGTAAGAGTCAAACTGAAATCCCGTTATCAAGCTATACTCCATTAGGAATGGAAGTCCCAGATTTATTTTTTTTTTCCAAACAGTATAACGTATCACTTTGGCTACCACACCTAACCCACATAATACACATCTGGGTCTGATCCAGGTTAGTTTGCCTTGGGTGTGAACAGCCACACTGCAAAACCTGGCTGGAGTCTACAAATTAACTGGTGCTCTGCTTCCTCCACCCCTCTTCCCTCACCATAATGCCCAGAAGCAATGGAGGAAAGATAGTGGACTGGCTATAATTCCTGGGAGTATAAACCCTTGGTTTTTTGCACTGCTCTACAATTCTCTCAGCAAGTTGTAGGAGAATATTTGTCCATCTGGATGTGTAAAAATTGCAGGAAAGCAATGAATGACCAGCACTACCTATGAATCAACATGCATATTTATTAAGAAATGGATAGATTACCAGTTTGAGCCAAAGTGGAAACTGGCTCTAATCCATACCCTTCCAGCCACGCCTGGTATCCACATTTAAAACCACCACTTACTTGGATAGGTTTAACATGTAAAATCAGACAGGGTGGGGCAACACCTCTTGGTAAAACCCAATATACCTCTGCAGTGAAAACATACCTAATAATTTTGAAAATCCTATGTTCAGGAGCCAATGTTTACCCTGTATATATAAAATACACAGCAAGTTTGTTACTGTATTGAAAGGTAACGGTTTTCATTGGGAATAACTGTCTTGAAGTGAAAGATTTTCAAGGGGGGGGAAAGGAGGGGGCAGTTAAGCCATGGTGCTGCCAATGTTTAGAAAATGTAAATGTATCCTCACGAACAGGTCTTGCTGAAGAAGTCAATGGCCAATAGCACCTCATGAGCTTAGAGGCCGACAGAACTAGGGCTTTAAAATGTTCAGTATTTAGTTTAAATGTACAACCTGCTGGATGCAAAGACACTAATCAACAGCAGTATTTGAAAAGTATTCAGGTCAAGTTGTAACAGTGTAACTAGCCAACTCTTTGCTAATTCTCAGTTTAAATTTAAAACCATTTCTGAACACAAGTAAAACTGCTCTTTCTTGGTTGCAGTAGACAAATCAGAATATAACAAACAGCTCTCCAACCCATTTAAGAGTCTCACCTTCACCACAGAGTTGAATTCAAGTTGTATTGCCTCTAGCCACAGGTCGTGACATTACACAAAACCCCTTCACCATTTTATACAAT